TTTGGTGGCTCAGTCTTTGTAACCATTTCTGTATGAAGGTGAGCCAGCCTTGTGGGATCTCGCTGGAAAGGCACATAAATACTTTGTCCTTTCCCCCAATGTCAGAGTTGGCCCCAGTGTTGGACTGAAAGGTAGAATTTTGCAGCCGTGGCTGATCATAGGAATTTGCAGTTCTCTCTTTTGTTAGACTGAAACCTGTTAACTTGAAGACAGGTATTTTGAAGACTGCAAGATTTCTAGGGAAATCTTGGGAAGTTCCCTATAAGGTTTAATAATGGTGAAGTAATAGTTAAAATTATTTTTTGTAGGGAGTCTTAGTTGATGTGTGTACTGAGTAGTTGGTTGTAATTTGAAACTGTCCGGATAGCAAAACCATGAAAAATGGGAGTAACTACTGTGCATATAAAGATTTATTATGCATCTATGTTACAGTATGCTTATTTTATCAAAAATAGACCATTATGAAAACTGGCTTTTGCACCTGCTCTTCATTAATTTTTGAAGTTAAATAGCTCTGCGTGGTCTTTTCTACGAAATACCAGAGGGCCCTTGGGGGTTATTAGCAACAAATAGTTACTGAACGTAGAGTTTAACACTAATGGTAAAATAATCCACTTCTGGAATTATAGTTTAACCACTGTTAAGGAAAAAAAACAAACTCACCACTCTCAAAAACTTTAAGTAACGGAGGACTGTTATATTACTTTGCACTACTTTTAAGAGAACTTAAATTCAGTATAAGTAAAAGTTGAAGTTGTAGTAGTATTGTATTCCTATTAAATTGGGAAAAAATAATAAAAATGTAGTGGTATTTCAGAATAATAGACAAGCACCTCATAACTTAGAAAAATATCTACCACAATTTGCATGTTTTCTGAAAAGAAAAAAATTCAGTTCATTTGTGTCTGGAAGTAGCTCTAGTTGAACCTTAAAGTTTGTTTCACATGTAGTGTGTGAAATTAATCAATCACACAATCAAATTCCTGTTGGAATTGTCCTGAAAGCTTTTTCAGAAGAAAAATCTCAGCAATGTAAAATCTGAAAAGACAAGCTTCCCCCTACCTATGTTACTGTAATTTAAGGCAGAATTTTATTTCGCTCTTTAGGGATTGTAGAAGCAAAACTGGTTTAGGAAAAAAGTAGAGGTCACGTTTTTTTCACAGATATTAGAAGGAAAAGAATCAAACTAATTTCTTTTTTTTAGGAGCAAATACTGGTAATTTGTTTTTCATCACATAACAAATGTCTTTGCAGTTAATTTTGCATGATTGGCCTTTCGTTATCAGCTGAGAAATGTGATCAGTCATATTTTAGTAGTTCTTCAAATGCCATATATGTAAAGTTAAAATTTGTTCAGTGATCAAATAAGTAGATATTTCTTAGCGATAGTCTATTGCTTGTATGGGATGCAGCTTTACTGTGGTGTGACCTATATCAGCTGTAGTTCTGGTGATAGTTCTGTAGTTTTCTGTAGTTTTGCCAGTTTTTGTAGTTGTCTTGCTGGTTATTGGTTTCTGTAATTTTTTTTGTAAATAAAACTATTTTATTTTTTTTAAGTGTGACCTTTCTTAGATCTAAAATAACTTTGTATTACTCAGTTCCAGTACTGACTTCATAAGGGTTTAAAGTTTCCTTGTAACGGGACATACAAAGCTGTTCTCGGCATGTATAGTACTACCAGACCTCTGTGGTTTGAACCAAGATGTTTTGCTGGTTGCCTGCTTCAATTTGAATCATTTTGGTTGAAATTTTCCAAATACTTTCATTCTGAGATTGGAATGATAGAAAAATATTATTATGCCCAAGTGAGCTATTTAGAAACATTTTATTGTTGCTCGATTTTTCAAGGAAGAAAATTGAGTTTGGCTGTACTGAGGATGTTTCAGTACATAAGAGCTGTGTGAAATTCAACACGACTTCCCATGCATTTGCAATTCAGGGCTGGGCAGATCTGGGCATAGTAACGAGAGTGTGTGTTGGCAGGAGAGGGAAAGCTGGTATGAAGAAGTATTTATTTAAAATACAAGTAGAGGATCTTTTTTCCCTGTGCTCTCATTTACTTCTCCTTCCCTGGTAGGAAAAAGCAGGGAAGTTGCCTGGGCTAAGTGTACAAGCAAGAAAAGGCTGGGTCTGGGTGGGGTAAATGGGAGTTCCTGACCAGCTGCCACAAGTCAAGACCACCAGCTTGGAGTCCGGGAGCTGGGAAGCTGGATACACGCTGGGATTAGGAACCAGTGGGCAGAGTGAAAGATGTGATGGGGATGAGAGAATGTATCCAAAGAGGCAGCAGGACCAGGAGAACAGTAAGGCTAATTGGACAAAGAATTAATATTGGGGAAGATAAGCTTGAGACTGGGTTACAAATTTGGTCATAGAAGCGGAGATGCCTGCTTGTTTTTGTAGTCTAGCCCTAAACTGAATTTTAGGAGTGGGAGGAGAGACTGATAAGGATCTGTTACCTCGACCAGGGCAGAATATGTCAAGTCTGGAAGAAGCAGGTAGAGGAGACTATGGTCACTGCAGTGCTATTTGGTGCTTGGAAGCAAGCCCAGCCAGATCATTACTGCTGCCAGTTCTTCAGCTCGGGTGGCAAATATGTGATACTTATGCTTTATTAGCCCAGGTTTCAGTAAGTTTCCACATAATTTGTTTTTGCTGACTGTTTTAGAAATAACTTAAGACACTTGTAGGCATATATTGTGTCTAGAGAAAAATACAGTGAGTATTTCAGAGCTTCCAAGTCAAGCTCTCAGAAAATAGGAAAAAGCAGGTTGTCTGTCGAGACTGCTTTCTCTCTCCTGGTGCAATATGTTGATGTGACTACGTGTAGTAAATAAGATGTAAGATAAAAACTGTCTTGTGTGAAAACTGCCCTGATGAACTGGTTTCTCCCCTGCCTCTGTTGCAGTGACCTTGTGCATTATGCAGTGATAAACAACTACATAGCTAAATACCAGTTCGCTTGCTGGGTGTCTCCCTTGAGGTTGTGTGGCTTGCGGAAGCACTGTGTATTCCCTAGGATGGCTGTAAGAGCAGTGCTTTGAGAAATAGGCTTTTATCACCAAGGCTTCCAGGATGAGGGAATGCATTTAACCTTAGTTTGAGAGTACCTCTGGCAATTCCTACATGTGGTGATGGCAGAGGTGTGTTTGGGGAGTGAAGGGTCAGGATCCTCAAGGTTTGTGTTCGGTTGCTCTTTTGGCAGGCAGCCAGTGCTGTCCCACTCAACATGAGGGAAGGGCAATGTGGTTGAACAGCCTTGTTCAGCTAAACCTGAATGGATTTTGATGGGACAAATAAATGTCACTTTCTCCATCCCAGATAGCTCCCTCTTCCTCCAGCTGCTCTTGTTTGCAGACAGCCTCTGAAATTCAAAAGTGTTAAGTCTCTTCTGAGGTGGCAAGAATATTTTGTGTTGGTAACTGTTCACTTGCAGAAGCGTAGCAGCTCCTCCTACAAACAGTATGTGTGTTAGGAGGACTGTCGTGCTTGAGTGTATTATAATGTCTTTTCACTAAATGAAAGACCCACAGGAGACTGGCTGACTAGGAGCACTGGTAATGGAATACAGACCTTTAATCTCTGGGAATGATAAAGTATTTACAGTTGTTGGTTGTATAATGACAGAAAAAAAGTAGTCACAGTCTTGCTTCCAAATAAGAGGTCTTAGTATCTCACATATCCCTGTTTAGGTGTTTTCAAGAAGGCCACAGATTTAATAACAGCTGTGATCTTCAGTGCCTCTCATCTGCTTGTTTGTGCCTTGCCAATCCCAGCTGTATTGTGCTGGTAGAAGGGTGTGAAGCGGCTTTGTCTTGTGCCACTTTGGTAGTGAGTAGACTTCAGTTTCCAGGGCAAATACCCATTTTGGCTGTGCGAGGAATGATTTTCCTAAAATGCTAGTATTTCTGCAGTACAAATAGGATAGAGTGAGGCTGTGCATACTGTTGGTGAGGGCAGCTCAATAGATAAATGATAAACCACTGCAACTTACTTGTTTGGTCCTTTGCTGATGACCGTATTTCGGTCTAGCAGGGAGTGTTAGGTCTGAAATCTGTTTTGAAAAGCTTGTCTTCAGCATTGACAAGTTTTAAGCTTTAAGGTGAGCATCAAATGTAGACAGAATAGATGCCACCACTGATTTCAGAATCCATGTAAAGAGGAAAACAAGGATGTTCATAGATTATTTTCTTTACTTATTTGATTTATTCACGCATAAGAAAGAAATGCTTGTGAATATCATGATTTATGTGAAGCAGAGCTTCTGTTTATCAGAGGTTGCCGACATTTTGTGAACTTTTGATATAAAAGAAAAAAATGAGTGTAAATTACTCGACTGAGTGTGTCTTCTGCAAAGTTCTGCATTTGCATTAACATCCTGCCTTCTGCAATATGTAAAGGCTGACTTTACATTTAAAAAAGAAAACCAAACAAAACTTACTGAAGGAAAGATGATTTTGAACTCTTTCTTACAATGCTTCAGATGCTGAGTTGTGAATAGACAAAGTGTTACTCTCTTGTTACTTCCTTTTGAAACATGATTTCATTAATTTTCTGGATGCCATAAACTGTCCTCCCCCTGCTTTTTTAAGTAAAGCTGCTTCACTTGTGTAGCTTACATTGTACTAAATTGATGGTGAAGAATAATGTGATTTAAGAAGATAAATGTCAGGAATGTCTTCTAATGTAGACATTCAGATTTTTTGGATTAATGGGAAAGAAGGCAAATAATTGCATGGATTTCAATAAGCTTGAGAAGAAATCCTGTGGTGCTAGTGATTATTAAAACATTGTTTATTCATTTCAAGATACTGTACTTGGGTTTAATACCTCTTCCATTGTGAAAGAATGAGTCAGTAAGGGCTGCCAGTTTGTACAGATGATAGATCATACAGCTGATACTCATAAAGCAACTGTAGTTTTAAGAGAAAAAAGTTATAGCAGTCAATAGATAAATTCCTGGATGGTAGTCTTAATCTTAGTTCTGCCTTATTAAATAGGGCCCTCCAGACTTTCAGCAGCATACGCCTGGACCAGTTCCTGCCAACTTCTCCCAAGCCCCAAGGCTGCCCATTCAGGATCAATGGAGAGGACCACCACCACCGCCACCACCACTCCCTCCTCCACCTCCTCAGGAAAGAGATCCTTTCTTCATAGCAGGTAAGCATTTTCATTTCCATTAACATACAAAGTCCACTTTTTGTAAAATGGCTATGCGGTGTAAGCATGTATCATGTAGCATGAAGTGTTTGAAGGAATCCGAGGGCTGGAAGATCCCATTTGTAGCCAGACTAGTACTTGCCAAAAATTCTGGTGGTCTGGTATCTTTTTACTTTTTTGATGTAATTGTATGTCTTCATCTGTAAATATCATCAATCTGGGCATTTATGCAGATACAAAATAAAATTAACATCTAAGTGATGGTTGTAATAAAGTTATTGTAATTTATTACATTTTAGATAACCAGTACTCTCGATGCACTTTGATTTCCACTGGTTACTCTTTAAACTGCCTGGACTATCTGTATACTCTAAGAAATCTCTTAAGGTTAGCTAAAATGATACAGCATAGCAAACAAAATGGATAGTAAGTGCATGTGCTTGTGTAGATAGATAGATATGCCATAGATATGTAATATGCATGTATCTAATGTGTATGCTACAGACATTTTACACACACGAAATATGTAAAAATTTGCTAAGTGTCTGGTCAGCAAATGGTACCAATGTTTTATGAGTTCTTGTGTGGTTTAAACTATAATCCCTGGAATCCTTCATTGATTTCATTAAAGTAGAATTTCTAAATGGTATTGCTAATTCCAGCAAAGTGCTGGTTATGCTGGTCTTTGAAGCATCAATTCCTTTTATACACAAGTGGCAGAAGCAAGAGAAACGTAACCTTGAGAGTAACTCTTGAAATTTAAACATCCATACGATTTTGTGTTCTGCAAATTTCAGGTTACTTTTCCAAATCAAAATAGAGCTTTATGTTTTGAAAGCGTGTTTGTGTCCCAGGGATGTTGTTGTTTAATCACTTATCTGATTCCCACAGATCCAAGGTTTCCAAGTCATCACTTGTTTGAGCAGCGAAGCCCCCCACCGCCACCACCCCCTCCGCTTCTTAATAGCGCGCATCCTGTCCCTACCCAAAATCCGATGCCATTCAGCCAGCCCGGGCCAGCATTTAATCAGCAAGGACAACAACCAGTGTTTCCCAGAGAGCGGCCAGTACGGCCAAACATGCAACCTCAAGGTCCTGTGGGGATTCTCCACTTCAACCAGCCAGGTTCAGCAAATCCGCGGCCCTTCATCCCTCCAAGGCAGCAGTTCCTGCAGGCTCCGGGCCAGCCCTTCCTCGCCGCACACACGCAGCCCAGCATGCAGGTACGGGGCTGCAGTGGGAAGGGGCCTACAAGGAACGGGTCAAGTGGCCTAGGGCTGCCTCGTAGGCTTATAGGAGTAACGTGTCTAAAGTGGAGTTATTTGAGTTTACAGG